CCCGAACCCAGCCAAGCCCTCACCGACTCGAGCATGCTGAGGGCCTTCTGCATCCTATCCACGCGGTGCTTCAGGTACTCGCGGTCCTTGGTCAGCCGCTTGACCTCCGCCGCCGCCTGCTTGCGCTCCCCAGAGAGCTCGGCAACTCGCTCCCCCAGCTCGTCCCGCGCCGCGCCCGCGCGCTCGAGCGCCTTCTGCAGCGCCGCCACCTGCGCGGCCAGCGCCTCGTTGCCCGCCGCCAGCCGCGCCTCGCGCGCGCCGGCGTCGCGCAGCTGCGCGGCGAGCCCGCCGGCGGCCTGCTGCTGCGCGGCCAGCTGGCGCGCGAGCTCGTCGCCGCGGCGCGCGGCGGCCTCGGCGGCCTTGCGGGCCTCCTCCTTCTGCGCGTTGGACAGCTCCAGCATTTCACGCAGCTCTGTGCGCTCGCGCTCCGCCTTCACGGAGAAGCACAGCGCCATGGCCGCGGGCGCGGCTCGCCGCGGCGCCGCGGCGCTGCGGCGGTGAGGGGGCGCGTGCGCCGCGCGGTGCGCGGGCCGGGACGTGGGCCTGGCCTCTGGTCAGAGCCAGACCTAGAAAGCCTCTCTGATCAAGGCGTGACGCAGGCTGAGCGACTGATTCGACTGTATGGCCCGCCGAGCCACGTGCTGCGCCGATCGCGTGTGGGCGCACCGCGCTGTGGGTGCCTGCGTATGGCCGCGCCCTGCCAGGCACGGTAAGGGAGCGTGAGATACGTCAGCAACACAGTTGTACGACATATCTTACTGGGCTCCGCGAAGCACGGAGTCGGGTACATACCGCTGTTATGTGCAGAAGCTTGCGGATGGCACCGAACATTCCAAGTATTTGAGATCGCTGCCACCACTTGTCTCTCACTTCGATCAACACAGGCTGCACAGAGCTCAGCTCCGCCCGCTGGCCCTGCCGGTGTGCAAAAGCCGTTGACCTTTGCCTGGGGACAGCAACAACCTATCAAAAATCTGGAAATGACACGGGGCACTGTGCTACACCTATGCAAAACTTGAACTGCACTGCGGCAGGTCAGCGGGCACGACAGCTCTCATCACTCCAATTTTGAAGCCAAGCACTCAGAAAATGGCCAAGCCTGTGGTGTAGGTATAGATGGTCCTTGCATACAGCTGATGACAGGAGTTTGACTACAATCGTCCATGCAAACATGACTTCCAGGCCTGCATGTTTGGTACCGTCGCTTGGGGCAGCTTCCCTGCCAAACACAGTGGCAGTTTCAACTGGCGGAGGAGTGGCGGGCCCAAGTGCCCTGCCGCACCTGGAACGCTTGGTAGGTGTTTGATGCAGAGTCTGTTCGTAGCGCGTCTTCCCCCCCCCCCCAATCAAGGGTGTTGAACGTGTGGCCAGGAAGCAGCTGGGTGCAGCATGTATACAGTACTCACAGAAAGCAGTACTGTACAGTCACGTTTACACTGCCAGTGCTTGCCGCATGTGGCACCCCCCGCATCTCTTACATTCAAGGCCGCATGTGGCAGCGATTGCAGGATTTTCATACTACGCCTGAAGACCTCAGCATACCAAGGGTCAGTCGGCGGCCTCCGGTCTCCCAGTCAGCGGGAAGACACCGTGCACCGGCCAACATGCCGGATTGAGTGACGAGGCCTGCGGTGCCGGCTTCCAGGGCAGGGAAACTCCGGCAGGCTCGGACCAGCTATGTGCGGCTCTCTCCCCAGCAGCCAGCGAGCTCCTGCTTGGGCCCCCACCAACCCTCCTGGGCACTTGCTTCAACAGCAGCCACAGGTGGACTTGACACAACACCTGCCAACGGCCGATACCGACTGGGCGCCAAAACGTGTGGTGGCCGTTTAAGAGGCCTACCACGGTTTGTTTGCTTGGTTTGTGCCGGAAGTGTCGGTGACAGCACGAGAGTGCCCCCTGCCTGTGCAGGCCTGCATCAGGCATATCAGTGCTGCATACCCTCTTGACAATCACGCTCAACTTGACCCCCAAATACAGTGAGGCACGCCCCGACTCGCGCGGGGCAAGCACCTGTGTACAACCGCGCAAGTGGTGGGGGCGCCCGGCCGGCGCCGCTAGCACAGCCAGCAAACACATTGCGTACATTTTAGTGAGGAGCGCCGAGAGCCTGCAGGGCGCAGCCACTCTGGACCAGATGCCGCGTTCCTTGTACATCCCCGTCAATCGCAGGCAGCCGCCGCGGCTAGTACGCGGTCCGACGCCGGCCCCAGGACCACCGTCCTGCACCCGTGCGCTCACACAACAAGAGCGCCGGGAGGAGCTCAGCCCGCGCCAGCCAACGCTCACACGTGCCCCGGCGGCGGCGAGTCCCCCGCCCACTCGCCGATGAGGTACTGCGTGGCCGTCTTGCCGCTGGCCATGTGCTTGCAGCACTGGCGGCTGATGATGGTGTTGCCCTCATCCTCCAGGCGGCTGTACTCCTCGCACACGTACTCTGACGCGTCGCCCCACATGCCCTTGGCGTAGACGCGGAAGATGAGTGTGCCGCAGGCCGTGAAGAAAAGCTGCCCCGAGCTGCGGCCCACCTGCAGGCAGCGCGCGATGGTGGGCAAGCAAGATTCAATTCACGAAAGGAGGGTGGACAGGGTTTGGACGGGTGCCCGCTACGCGCAAAGGGCTGGGGTCACTGGGAGCAGGGGAAGCTGGCCGTGCAGCGGCGTGCAGAGCAGCTCGCTGCACGGCGTCCCGGATCGTGGCGCGGCCGCCAGGCGGCTGGCCTGTTTTGGGGTGCTGCCGGGCCCAGCAGGTGGGGAGACAGGGGGCGGGTGGAGGGTGGGGTGGGGTGTCGCCCCCACCTTGATGTCGCGCCGCATGTTCCACCATGTTGTGGAGCCGTCCTTGTTGAAGGTCTCCACGTAGCGCGACAGCGGGCCCAGCGGGATGGAGCGCGGCTTGGCGG